AACAGGCAGAAACCTGGAGCAGAACCATGGCTCAGGGTGGGGGGGGATCTGCCTCGCCCGGTTGGGGTTGAGAGAAAGAGGGGGAAAGAGAGAGAAAGAGAGTGAGAGAGAGAGAAAGAGAGAGAAAGAGAGAGAGAGAGAGAGAGAGAGAGAGAGAGAGAGAGAGCCTCCACAGAACTACGGGGATCTTTATCTCCAAACAGTAAGATTGCATCATGATGTGTAATTGTTATTTATACTGTTTTATACACATGTTCAAATATAATACGTCTATAACTTGTTATTATTTTCAATGGTACTTGTCTTATTGGAGTTTATGTAAGTTGTATTTGTTTTATATTGTAATATTTAGAATAGAGTGGATTTGCTTTTGTTTTGAAGTTTAGAGAGCGACACTTTTATTTTGAAATCAAGGAGTCTTGTTCTGAGCTCGAGAAGCAGAGATGCCGAAGTTAAAGATTTGCTGAAGTTAAAGCTAACGCGTATTGGAATATCTTAAAGTTTTGCACAATTCCCCTTTTTCTCGCAGCCAACGAGGTATTTTATTCATTTGTTTGCTTTTTAAGTATCATTCCCTCTGCTCTGCAGGTTATTGTTTGTCTCATTGATGTTTGTGTTTTGCTACCTTTACTAGTTTTCACCGTGGATTTGGAGATTCCAAAAGACTTCAAATATATAATTTAAGATATCAAATTAGAGGGAATTATATAATGATTTTACCACCATCCAGCAGGGTTGTCAAAAGCATAGATACTCAAAAAAGTATCGATACTAAAATGTTGTATCCGGATACGATACTCATTTTCAAAAGTATCGATACCACCCCCACCCTTCTCTCTGATTTATTTATGTATTTATTTACGTTGTTTATGATCATTAACAAGACGTTAGCCTTGAACTGCTAGCTGCGGCTAATCAAGTACATATCCAACTCTGCCCACATCCAAGTCACCAATAGGAAGATCCCAGGCAAGAAAATGGTAATGCCTCATGGCAATATAGACATTAATTTAAAAATAGTGAAATGAATCTTTCGAACACTTAATTAAACTCTATCCATATAATTAATTTAAAATAGTGTAATGTTTAATAGGTTTGTAGAATAAGTCCAAACAAGTTTAACCGAAAAATATTTATTTCTCACAATTATGAAGGCTGGAGGGTTAAGATTAGGGTTAGGGTCAGGGTTAGAGTTAGGGTTAGAGTTAGGGTTAGGTTTAGGGTTAGGTTTAGGTTTAGGGTTAGGGTCACTTTTGCGGACTATCGGCCACAATAACATCAGTAACAGGTCAGTTTGAAATAAAATACACTAACCTGTCAAAATTCAGTTAAATTTTGGGGTCTTTGTTTTTATCCTTGTGGTATCGAAAATGGTATCGAGTATCGAGTATTTTCCTGAGTATCGGTATCGAGTTGAACGTTTTAGTATCGTGACAACCCTAGTTATATGATGGTTTTACCACCTTCCAGCGGTTGCTCGGACTTGAAGGGTGTGTCCGGAGCCCCCAGGCCGGAGGAGGAGTTCCCCAGGAGGTCGGGCAGGGAGGAGGACACCGAGCCCACCGAGGGCTTCCTCCTCCACTTCAACACGGACGGGAACTCATCAACCACCGGGAACTCATCCGGAGTCGGGAACTCGTCCTGTGGAGCACAAACGGGAGGCGGTGTTTAAAGGAGAGCGGAATAAACGGCGACAAAACTGTAAATGAGACGAGCTGACGAACCAGAAAAGTGTTAAGGAAGCTCATAAAATACATCAGAATCAGAAATATTTTAATTATCCCAGAGGAAAATTATTTTTGTTACTCGCTCCAAAAATAAAACAACGGCAAATACATATATACATGTCTATACATATATAAAAATATATATATATATATATACAAAATTCCACATAGAATATAGATAAATATATACATAAATAACTATATGTATTTATATAGGTCAAAATAAGTGGTGGTGATAATGTAAAAAATTAAATTAATAAAATACATTTATATAAATTGATAATTAATAAATAAATAAATAAAATACATTTTTTCCATCTTAAATAACTCAATTCTGCTTATCACTGTGTTTATTGGTCCAAATGTTGCTTGACGTCACCATGGTGACCGCATCATCAAAGCCACAAGGCGTTTTTAACCCATAACCCTATGATGCCAAATTACTTATTGCACGCTAATTTGATCATAACAATTTCAGTTTTTTTTCTTCATATGTTGTTGAGGGGCCAAAGAAAGACTTCAGTCTAAAAAAATCCAATATTCTTCCTATTTTTCTTGAATCAGGCTTTAAAGGCCTGAAAGGTCGAATATCGACTGAGGCAAGAAAGCTTTTATATATATATATCTGACAGTTTTGTTTCTTAACACCACTAAAGTTTTTAAATAATCAAACTTTGAAAAATTATTCAGGACAGGCCCTGAGAGCTTCATTAGTATTCAATGGCATCGTGACCTGACGCCATTCTCTCCTCAAATATTATTGTTCCTGGGCGGAGCAGGATCAAGGACGAGTCTGATTAGGGAATTAATTATTCTGTAGTACAGAGCAGCCTGTCACAAGGTGACTTCAGAGGGCCCTCTGATAGCATCTTGCAGACTCGGGGAATAATTCACCGCCAACAACATGATCGATTGATCCCGTCTGTGTGAGGAAAGTCAGGCCGGTGGCGTGAAGCCTTCGGGCGCCGCTGGCTTTGATCTGAACAACGTCTAAGATTTCTCTTGTCATCCTTCTGCTCACTGAACTCCACTGGTTACCTCTGGCTGCCCGTATCAAATCCAGGTCCCTGATGCTAGCCCACAAAGTGCTTAACTCATTGGCTGCCAAAGACGTCTATAGACGTCTTTTATGTTTTTCAACGAGAGTGGCTGGGGGACGATCTGCTAAAGCTTGTCCGTAAATATCAGGCTTCTAGACAGAGTATGTAGTAACAAATTGACCCTCTAGGGGGCAGTGCCACTTTTGATGGGAGATGAGCATAGACTGTAGGCAAATAAGAAAAACGTAATGGTTCGCTATGCGAGAAATGGCGCTGGTGAGACCCAAGTCGAGGAAGAACGGAATAAGGTAGAAACACATTTTTTTTCCTGATGAAAGAAGAGAGTCTACTCTTTCTTTTGGTGTGTTCGGTGTTTACATAGTCATAGCACAAACTATTCTGTGGCTCT